TTTGGGTGTTTTCTATAATATGTATGTATTTATCAATCAATCACTTCTTCAAGTTTTGCTTGGTTTAAAACTACTTGGTGTGTGTTAGATCTACGAAAGATATTGTAATTAATTGTGACGAGCCCGTTGATCTGGCGGTTAAATAGTGATTCTGACTCTTGAGCCATCTAGGATAACACTAGGCAACAAAAATACCTTTTTCCCCTCAGAGATGTAAGTCAAGATCACCATACTAAAGGGAACTTGGGACAGTAAATAAAACTTCTCATTCACGGCTCAGGCTTTTAAGAGGGATTTGTCTTTATTTGTACTGATTTCATCGCTAACTTGCAATAAATTGATTAATTATGAGTAAAAAAATGAAAAGTTGTTGGGTTATCTTACTTATCAGAAACCAGGAGTAGTCTGCATGCATAGCAGGTTTCCATTTCCCTTGATACTGCTTTTCGATTGAGGCAATGTCTTGGTGAAAGCGCTCACCGTTAAAAACCACCTTGAAAAAACCGTGTTTTTAGGGACATATTATTATTATTAGGGCTCCCATATTGGGGCGATCGATGATTTTCCAAAAAAATGTTTGTGACTTCAAAGAACCCCAACTAAGCTTTCTTTTCTTCATTGTTTAAGGTCGAAATAAACTAAGGATCTTTTATTAACTTTCTCACATCTGGCTCAATTAACACACCTTTCTTTTAGCATCTCTCAAAGCAGAATACTTTTGTATTAAATACATAAAACCTTGTCCCTCCTTATTCACTACTTTTAAAAAGTTATTGATAAATCCAAGTATAGCGGTTTTTTTTTGGGATGTATTAATGGATAATTTATATGTTTCTCTTGACTTTTTTTTTGGGGCTTGGTTGAAAATTCCTGTTCGTTTTCACGAGTAATTTTAAAATTCCCCTTATTAAATCATCAAGAAAGGATTTAAAAAAACTCATTTTCTATACGTGATTGAGATAAATGGGTATTTTACAGGTATTAGGGCCGTGACAATCTACCAAATACGCAATTAATTTATTTCGGGAAATTTTGTGTATATAATTAGTGACATAGTTAATTGTGTTGATAATGCATGTTAAATGATTTGTTTTGTCTGGCTGTAATTATAAAGCTATTTATAATACGTTTATTTATTACATTCGACACTACTGTTGATATATTGTAGTATGGTAAATATTGTATTTAGGTTTTCTATCCGCTTATAAATTTTCTACCCGCTTTTTGTAAAACATAATGCGCAAAGAAAGCGATTAAATATTTTAAACAGAGAGTTAAAGATAATCATAACTTTCTTACAAATTGAATGAACTTTTAATGACTGTAATGTCATTCACACGCTAATAAACTCTGGCCGCACTATAAATCCTGCCCTCGGCTTATCATTCCCACGTGTGAATACAGCTATTTTACATAATGTATCGCTCTTCAGAACCATGAATTACCGTCATTTTTTATTTTTATGTAACTAAACAGAAACTAAAAACAAACATTAAGAGCCGCAAATTCAAACAAAGTAAAAACTTAATGTAAAAAACTAGCATTTTATAAGAATATTCCACTTAAAAACCACAAACCGCAAAAATGCTAAAATCCGCTAATTTGACTATATTCAGACGCTATTTACACCTTTTTCAGTGCAACTTACTAGTAATACCTACCTATATGGTTTATTATGTATGAATACATAATAAACCATTTCAGAAAAAAACCAGTAGTGTTATTAGTTGTCATTCGCACTTTACAAATGTAACAAGACTAAAAATGAAAATATTTTGTAATGGTAATTGACTTATTGTACGTACATATCGAACACCTGTGATAAAACAGCCAATAGGTTATTTTACTTAAAAACTCTTTTACCTACGTGTTGTAACCTTTTTCAAAATTATCAATAGTCTAAACATAGTACAGTTATGGTGGGTAACATTTGCCCATTGTTTTTCAACGACTGTAATCCATACTTATAAATGTGAAAGTGACTTTGTTTGTTTGTTACGCTTCCACGCCTAAACTACTAAACCAATTTTAAAAATTCCTTCACCAATGGAAAGCTATATTAGGAAGCTACATTATCATACATAGGTTACTTTTTATTACCGCGATAATCGACATACACGCGGGCGGAGCTTTGGGCAAATGCTGGTAATCTTATAATTATTTATTTTGCCTATAAAACCTGTTTAAAAAAATATTTTATTTTTTCGCAAAAAATATGAAAGTTTAAAAAGTAATAGATTTATAATGATTTTTGATTTACGGTTTTAGTGTCTACGACAGGAGGGCCCATGCTCCTTCGCTACATCATGCACCCATCTGAACATCAATACAAAAAAATAAAAATAAAAACAAATAGATTAAATAGGCTCGGACGGCACGGACATTTAAAATATTTTTAATATTCATTTAGATTTTATATAACTTAATAAATCTGCGTCTATGGATAAGAGATTTATATTATTAATTTGATGTGAGAACTGTTTTAGGAACAGGTATTGAGGTTACAGTGTACCACTTAATAAGTGGCACTTATACGAGTATATGAACGATAACAATATTAATTTCATCGAAAAGTCGTTCAGAAAGATGGGTTATGCTTATGAGCAGCGATGCCGGCCGGCGCGGCGCGTCGGTGTGACTCGGCGCAGTGGGTCAGGCGAGGCAATACCAGCGGACCTTGCAATGTCGCGGCGGCGTGACGCTCAGCTGACAGGCCGCCCGCCGAACACCGCCCCGCGCTTTCATTGCCTCCGTGGCAGCGGACGCGAGCAGCCGTCTCGTATGCTAGTCTTAATTATATAATTTCAATTTACGATATTTACAACTTACAACTATTAGTAAAAAATATGTACGAATGAAATTGAAAATAGTTTAATGTGCTTTTGTGAATTTATTTACAAATAGTTTAAAATGTGAGTGCGTCGTGATACAAATTTAGTTAATTCTGGAGTGCGGTGACGGCCGGTGCGAAAGGTCGGCTTGTGTAAAAATAACTGCGGAACCGGGCGGCTAAGCGGTGGAATGAGGTTTGACGGCACATTGTAGCCGAGGCGGGGCGAAACCGTGTGCGCCATGTTATAATTTCCCTTCGTGTCGAAAGTGCAAACCAACTGACTGAACACCGCACTGTGCCTACTTCTCTTTCCCTCAGTGCGCCGTAAGCATGCTTGTTGAACGAGACAAGAGGCCTACCTCAGCTTGTCAACCTACTGCTACATCTTGTTACTGACAATAGTGACATTAAATGGCTTAAATCATAGCTCATAAAGTGTGAAAAAGATTTTTTTATAAAAAGTGAGACACGATAATCAATATTGACCTCTTTCTTAATTTGCACATTGGTTCATAATGGTGTTAAACGATGGACATTACTATACTTATAGAAAGGGCAAGAGATAAAGTTAAAATGTTGCATATGCTTCGGATTGATCAATCTCTTAAATTAAGATATAAATTAAATTAACTTACTCTAAAGTGTAGTGGATTGTGTTAATTGAATTAGTGGAATATTCGTATGTAAATTTACACAATTTTATTTAATGAAATAAGAGAATTCAAAATAATAATCAATAAGTAAAACAATAACCAATAACAAGCTAACTAATCAAAATAGAGTGGTGTCAAAACCGCGATCTAGCGTTCACTGATAAAGAGGCGGGGGGTGTCAGAGGGAGAGCGGGGCGGGCCGCCTGTGTCGGTGACCCCACGGCCCCGACTTGCCTACACTTTGAGACTGGCATACTTCCCTGCTCATTTTATCAAGTTTATCAGGTTTCTACATTTCATTTATATAATGTCTAGTCAGCACATTTTGTAATTAGAACAAAATTAATAATTTAAAACCAAATTTGTTTTTGACAGTTGTACACAATAAACATGTAACTAGGTTTAGCCAAAAAAATCATAAATTATTTTATATGATGTAACCGTTTGTTCTATTACGGTTTTCAGGTATCAAATACAAACTGTCAAATATGATAAGTTGAAAATTATTTTTTTCATTAAATTTTACCAGGTGGCAATATTGATAGGTAGATACAGGGATTGAAAATATTTTATTCCATGTTATTATTATAGGAGTCCAATGTTATTTAATTAATATGGCTAAGTATATTTCTAGGTTTACAAACAAATAATTATGTACTACCACTAACGACTCAGTTGTGTTTGTTCTGGAGACGCGGAGAGTATTGGATATCGTTAAGTATCCATTAAACTAGTCAATACATCTTAGTATCCATACAATAAGTTTATAAATGTCAAAGAATAAAGATCAGCTCAGAAAAAAAAGATGTGAACCAATGTTTTATTTTTTTATGTGAACACACAGCTGAAACTTGTAATAAATTATTATATATTATAATTATCGGCGAGTGTAATGCGTACATCTACTTAGGTATAATCTACTTAGGTATAAAAGGGTATGTATGTAATAGCACTTATAAAATTGGGAACACCTCTTACATTGTATTTATATTGTACGGCAGACGATTATAGAATTTCTAACTAGGTAGTTAGGTCTAACTGTTATTTTATAAGACATAAGTATTTAATACACACACACACACACACACATATATAATATATATATAACTAGGTTTATACTATACATTGGAACAAAAGAAGCATGATTCGATAACATATGTTTATGTGCAGACAGAACATTTAAATGCATGAAATGATACTCCAAACTTGCTAAAGTTAAATACGAGTAGAAACATTAAAAAAAAACAATACGGATTCCATAGTTTTTCCAGCAATCACTAATCGATATGAAGGCAAGGCTACTAACATCCTAAATGAAGAATGGCACTATATGATATACCATTACAGCTTCTATTTATAAGATATACCATCATGCAATGTTTAAGAGACTAGTCGAGCGCCACAACTACCGCCCCGGCCCACATTCACACATTAGCATATACTTATTCTGTGTAAATTACCAAAGTCTACCGGTGTATGCGTGTCTAATACATAATGTCTATAAAAAAACTCACCGATTTATATTCGGGCGTCCGTCGAGTTTCTACTAGTATCTCCCTTGTGCTGACCTGTAAACACGCGATCAATGCGCTCAATGTAACTCGCCTATTAGAAAACGTCTCCCCACTATTATTACTCCTTGCCTTTTACAATGGCACCTTCGTCAAATAATATCATGTTGTATGGCAGATGTAATATTTCTATAGAAATACTTTAAAGTTGTAGTCGTCTGAATATAGCTACGTTCGAACAGATAAGGTTATCGAAATGTATGCAAGGTAAGATAGAATTATCACTAATCTATACTCATATGTTTTGAGCAACGGTTACATGCGGTTGCTACCAGGTAGCGAAACGTCTTGAGGGCGATAAGTCACAAACGTAAACGTACCGCTTGTCGAGAAACTATTTGTGTCAGTCCGCCATTTTGTCGTTGAATGACGAAATGATACCTACTATATACATCCAATGACATAAAAACAGATTCAATCAGAGTTTTGTCGTTATGACAAAGCTGTTATGTATTCACTGCCTAAAGAATTTATAACCCTTTGGTACGCACTAAATCTTATTGAAATTAAATAATACTTATTAAGTACACTGTTTAGTCATTCTAAATCTTGCCGGTGAGCAACAAAAAGAACGTGATCTAACAGATATAACAGATTATTTGAATTACAAATGTAACAAAACGACGAATAAAACTTATACCCCAGAGCGGGCAAATGACGCGTCAATATGGCGATCCAGGGGGGACAATGTGAGGGCGGGGTGCACGGACGAAGCCGAGACACATAATACGAATACATATCTACGACATCACTTGCTCGGCCGAGACAACGGAGTGTGTGCACACAAGCGATTTTATGTTTCGCCGACACCACACAGAAAGCGGGGCCGCGGTAGCGGCGCGGTGGTGTGGCAGCGGGGCAGGTATACCGACTGGAACTGCTACACTATCAGAGATCACGATCGGCTTGTTGAATGTCAAAAATCTCACCCGGCTGACTAGTGACTCATCAATATAAATGTCTATATTTCGTTGACAATGCAAAATTCAACGCTGTTTGCAGAAATAAAATATTTCTGCAAACTGAACTAACTTTTTTTTTAATATAACCGACTTCAACGAATTCTACATTTGTTTGTGTTCACCCTGTGGTGTTGTTTTTTTTTTTCAAATTTCAATGGAATAAACTGGAAGTATTTCCTTTTCAAATAAAAAAAGGATTTTCCAAATCATTAGTTCATTAGTGACGAAGTTCTGAGGTAACAAACATAAAAACACTACAGCCGAATTGAGAACTTTAGATAAAACTATACGTACAATTCGAACAACGCAACGAACTGATTCTTTCCTTTTAAAGCTAGTTTTATAACCACCTAGAACTCTAAAATTATAGAAGTATTGCCCAGTACGGTAAAATCCATTTGCCATACAAGTACTGCAGTGCGCAACGACAAGCAGTGAGTAAGTAAGCAGAAGACATCGGCCGTGGTTTAACTTTTACTGATAAACCGACTAAATGAGCCTAACCGGAGCGCAGGAAATCTGAGAACAAAAGAATCGCTTCGAAAACAACATTGCATTCACTTCTGATTTAACAAAGACATTCCTGTACAATTCTTTGATAAAATACTGACGGATGTACAAGTACGGTAATGTGTTTTTTTAACATACGTATTCTTAAATCCTGCTAACATAAACTAAGCATTTATAAAGAAACGATTTTTAATTATTTACAGAATTAAAATTGTCGTGCCCGACAATAGTTTACACAAAGACGAGGACAATTAATATTCATGTGGTAATTATAAATTCTAAACTACATGGTTTTAAAGAGTATATATACTAGGAAGAACATATAAAGATTATCACACAATGAATCACATTTACATGAACTATTATTATGTAATAAATTATATATATCATTTAAAACAATTGAGTTGTGCAAATAGACGGTTTCTATCAAGGTGTACTAAATTAACTAACATATTTAAGTAACCATCTCAGTTTTTATTATATCGAACATCTGAGAAGAAAATAAATAATAAAAACGTTAAATAATGCATATAAAAATGAAATCATAATTAGTAGTATATAAACATCTTTGTTAGACCATATTAAATTTTAAATAATCTTTTTTTGCAACAAACAATATAAACAGGCCTAATTATTAAAAAAAATTATAAACACAAAACCCGAATGCGTGAAAATGTTTAATTAAAATTTACGAACCGGTGATTACATTTTTTATAATTTCCATATACTCAGTGTCACTCTCAAATTTAAGAAAAATGTAACGACACCTCAAGCCGTTTACGCTACCGTGCCTTTAAGTTTTAGATTAATTTAATAATGGAAGAAAACTATTACCACACAAATAACAACTAAATAAAAGTACCTGTAGTCCATCTAATCTAAGAGGTACCGTTTGACGTTTCATACTTTTCAAGACGAAACCACTTTGTATAGGCGTTAACTCACAAAATTTCAATAACCTTTTCCGCAAAACCATGGAGTTACGTAGCCATTTTTATTTTGTAGCAAAGTACCTACACAATCATTAATGACTAAAGAACTATGGCGAATTCGTGGTTGAGTATAATTTGAGCGTCTTAAAATGTCATTCCTGTGAAACTAATTCTAGTAAATAGCTACGTTTTTCGAAACTATCGTCTAAGTCAGTAAAAGCCCAGCAAAAGAAAGAAAAATAGTATAAGCTTATTTGATTATTTTTAATTTCCTTTATCAGTTACCATATTACATCCATTTTTTTTAAGTAGTGGAAATACTGTCCAGTAAAGTGTCGTAATATGGTAATCACTTAATAGTAATATGGTAATCAGATACTATTCTCTGTAAGTACCGAATCAATAAATATTGTGGTGTGTAGTGCATTATTAAACGCATTATTTAATTTCTTTTTTTTTTTCTTTTTTTTTTAAATTAGGAATTATTCCGCATTAGGAATATATATCCTGTGTCGCGGGGGACTTTACAAACATACATGATACGGTCACAAAGAACACCCAGACTCAGAACAACAATTTGTGGATCACACAAAGTGACGTCCCATGTGGGGTTTGAACCCACAACACTCGGCGTAGTAGGAAGCGGCGTGGCGACCGCTTAAACCACTCCGCCATCCGTGCAGTCAAATAGTTATTAAAAAATTTTAAAATTGTAAAAATAGTTTGCATTTCATATGCTATTTCAACATGTAATGAATTGTAAATTCTAAACCTAAACTAATATGATGATGTAATTTAAACACAGCGCAAACATCCATCAAGAGTTGTCAAAAACCTTTGCTTTTTCCAGCTTGTAATTGTCACTTTATTTTTTTTTACTTCCCTACATTCCACTACAAGATTTTCAAATACGTAAATAATGCGGTTAATAATGCATTACGAAATACATTCTTTATGGATTCGGTACTTACAACATTAAAAATGATATAGGTAATAAATTAAGGAAAAGGAATATACTTATTGGATATTATGCATATATGCATATTATTATATACATTAAAGTGACATAAAAATGTAACTTAAGAAAGGTCTACAGCTAGCTAAATAATTCTTTATTATCTTTCCTTATTTTATTTAAATGGCACACACAGTTATTATTATCAAGTAATTATGTAAAACAATACGCAAACTAATTTAAAGTCGATAGCCATAGATAAAATAAAGAAAACATTATACAGCTATGTTATGAAATACTCTTTTATAAAGAGTCCATAGATAAAAAAATGCAGTGCGTAACTAAAAAAAACAAATGCCAATATCTTTTTTCCTAGCCTTTCCCAAACAAAAATTGTCTTACATGTAGATTCTTAAAAAAACCCGAATTTTTTGATATTTTTTCACTACAAGACGATGAAATTTGATTCCAAATATTTTTTTGTATGGAGACTCGCCATTGTTCTTTAAATCTTTGAAAGAAAGCAAAATAACCAGTTTATACATAAAATATGTTTTTTTCAAACTGCATTTCTAAGTCACGTAGTTGGGTCCTTAAAAGTAGTGTTGCGGCTCTTCAAATTCACTTGAATACGAATAATCGTTAAAATGTACGAAATTTCGAATTTATTAATAACGAGTCATTTTAGTCCAGGCGTCTTAGTGTTTAATAATACTTAAAATTCATCTGACATCCAAAGTATGTAAGTTAATGTAATTTTAAATAAATCTTTCTAGGCAAAATTTGCTCCTGTCCAAGTCTAAGATTTACTAGTAAAACCTATGATGTGCATTTATAGTAACATACATAAATCTGTAAAACGATTAGTATATACTAAGAAATGATATCGAAATCTCTTAAGAATCAGATATTTCAGTAACCGCTTTCTTTGACCCCATACGAATAAATCAGATCAGGAATGAGGTGATCCGGCAGAGAACCAAGGTCACCGACATAGCCTACAGGATAAGCAAGCTGAAGTGGCAGTGGGCTGGCCATATTAGCCGCAGAACCGACAACCGTTGGGGAAAACGAGTTCTTGAGTGGAGACCGCGTCTCGGCAAACGTAGTGTAGGACGCCCACAGGCCAGGTGGAGTGACGATTTGCACGATTTGCACAATTTACAAAATGGCTGGCAGGAGCTGGATGCGAGAAGCCCAAAATCGATCTAAGTGGCGTGCAATGGAAGAGGCCTATTATGTCCAACAGTGGCATATTAAAAAAGAAATTAATTAATATAAAATAAATAAACGTGTTGACTACCATAAAGTTAGGTGCAAGGTGTATTTTCGACCTATTTTGCCAGTTAATATTCCTGAACTAGACCTTGTGTTATTAACATATTTGCATTTACTTAAGCGTTTTCAATGAAAACTGTAATCGATTTATATAAATACAAAGAAATAAAAGTGTTTTCTCATAAGAATCGGGTATTGTATAGTAATAGATTTTTTTGACCCCTCCTTATTCTGCAATCTGTCAGAACTGTCAAACGGTAACTCTTAGATAAGGTGGACCATACTTATTAAAACGGTCAGACATAGATGTCTCAAGGTCTATCTTAGTATACCATCTATATGAAAGTATTAAGGAGGCGAATAAACACGTTGCTCGATGTGACCGGTCTGTTTAATGTTCACGAATTAGTTATGAAAATTTAAAGTGAATAAACACTCGTCAAATGGTCAAAATTATTTTAGATCAAAACAAACATTTCATTCTCGCTACGACCAGGCAGGTCCGCGCTTTGGGTATAAAGCTACGAGCACGCAGCACCTTTTGCTCATGTTGAGCAAAATTTATTACGCGTCGCATGGTAGTATCACACACGTCCGTTCGTATCTAGACCATTTATTTAGTTCGTTAGTACTTAGCAAGGTTTATTTAAAACTTTATTTATTTAATAAAGTCTATACTTTTTAGTAAATTACTAAAAAAGTCTATAATTTTTAGTCTATTATTAAAAAAGTCTATTACTATATAATATTATGTAATAGGTACAAATTACTGGTTATTAAATACTCAGGTTAATTTATTCTTTAAAGAACCTTAACGTTAATCTTCCATTATATATCATATCTAAGTATCTAAATCTATTATAAAAATAGTCTTAAAACTTGTACACTTGAACAATATTGTGTTTGAAATTTATCACATGACGTGCTATGCCACGTCGGATATTATAATCGTAATATCCGATATGCCCTATAAAAGTAAAGAGGAAGTAGCCTGGTACAGTGAAGTTTGCGACTTTGTGATTGTATAAACCAAGTGAGCGAAACTAACCTTGGCGCCTAGGAAACGCGCTTCCAGCAGCTCCTGCTTGCGAGGATCCAGCGCCGCTTGGAAGTGCTCCATCTTGACGCCAGCACCTGTTAAAGACGATGCGTGTTATAACATCGTGTACTATGGCGGTCAGTGGTGCCTCCCCTACAACCGTTAATTTTTATTCGTTTTGAAATATAGCTTTTAATGGCTACATTTTAATAGGCAAATAAGTAAATATACGTTCTACAATCGTTAGACATTGAATTATTGACATATATTTCTACCGAGTTACCTGGATAATTCATTATTTCGTACACATCCTCTCCTATACCTACTCAAAGTACTATTTTAAACCGGTTCAATATTTACGTGTACAATGCGGGGTACTGGATTTACGTAGTAAAATGTTTTATGCCACATTTTTATTGATAACCTAAGGTCATTATCTGCAAAGACCTGTTCACCCTTATAATTATTATTAAGTAATTTGCTTGATGATATCGCACTACCGAAAGATACAACTACTTTCGATGACCCACTGTGTGTGTATGAAACCTTTCAGCGGCCGAAGTGCAAGTTTATTCCACATCTACTCAATCTTTACAGTGACCGCGATTGGCGCTGCGATTAGCCCGCACTGAAATTGTCACCAATCGCAACGCCAAACGCGTTCGTTGTCGAGAGTGAGTTGATGTGAAAAGTGTGAAATAATCTTACACTAGGCCCTCTGAACAGAATATCGCATCTCGTATAGAAGTCTCTTGGCTGAGATGACGATAGTGATTTTGTGATGTAATGTTCCACGAAAATACACTGTCAATTTATTTTTACCCTCGACCTAATAGTTTATGCATTTCGACGTGTGGGATTGTAGCTCCTACATCAACTAATCTGATTTTTTTATTAGAAAGCTGATGTGTCGACATATATAAACACTTCTCATAATCTATACCATAAAATCTTAACCTTTCTTGTGGGTCTTGTAAAATGAGTAGAATGTGTAGAATTTGAACGCACTCCTTAGTTCCTGTTAATTTTTATATTCATCATTTCTTTCTTTTTTATGTATTACGAGATCTTGATTACGAGAGGACCCTTTAGGATTAATGAGAATCTTTACAACTAAATTCACTCCAACTCAACCAATTCAAGTGGGTTAAAGTTTAAATAAAAAGCTTATTCTTGCAAGTTTTCTTAGACCAAAACGAACCGTGTATAACACTTAGAACCGAATATATCGACAAAGACGGCTATAATAACGTATGTACGATTTGTACAGTAGAAAATCACGTGTGAGTAAAACTTGAGAAGAGTGAAAGTTTCTTATGCTCGATGACAAATCTGTAAATACACAGCATTAAAAAAGTTATTCGGCAAGGTAGAACCAATAGCCAGTCTCGGAATAAATTTCATTTTTAGGGTTCCGTACCTTAAAAGAAAAAAACGAAACCCTTATAGGATCACTTTGTTGTGCGTCCGTCCGTCTGTCTGTCTGTCAAGACCCTTTATCTTGGGTATCGGGTATCGAGTTGAAATTAAAACGATACTCTTGAAGCTTTGAAAAAATCAAACTTCTAAGTTTACGTAACAAAACAGATAATTACGGCCGTTTATGCTGCAAAAAACGTATATTTCGACACTCGCTAGGGAATAAAAAATTATAGGGTATTTTCTGTTTACCTACAACTATAAAATTTGGCAAGTAATACCGTCTTATACTACAAGTATAGGGAAAATTCTGAAAACTTGTAATTAAATCCTGTAAATGTACTTACAAATTTGAACGGAACTCTTCGGAGTCCGACTCAATTTGTAAGTATCCGGTTTATTTTTTAAATTTTTATAGACAGATATTCTGTCGAAACCTCTGACTGTCATATTTATTTTTCAAGCTATCCTTTTGATGTTTTGAGCTCATTATAGTTTACCGATTCGGGGTTTTATTTATTTATTATTTACAGACACCTTAATACTGAATAATCCATGCGCAGAAAGTGCTTATGGATTTTCAGCATCGTTATATTGCAACAATTAAAATTATGTACTTTTTTACACACAGTTTACAGTTGATTTAAATATAAAGTAAATAATAAAATTTGGTTCAATAAAATCTGTCCATAATATAAAAAGATAGCATAAAGAATAACATCATGTTTTAAGTCCTATTTCCCGTTTTATATAGCTGACGTATGACTGAGCTGAGCTGACGATGAGTATATAAAGCAGTATATATTTAAGTACACCATTATAGACTGTTGTTTATAATATTTAACAATAAAGGAAGTATTGTTGAATAATTTAAACAATTTGAATTAGTACCGAAGGTCAGACTATGTTCTAGATTGCTATTTTTAAATATAATATGAAATTAACTGACGTGCTTGCTTTTTCTATTTGTATTCTTAGATATACCGAGTAACCTTGAGTCTAGTTCCATAGTTTTTCTGTGACCAAACAAGACGTAACGTAATGAATTTTCAATATGGTGTCTAAATTAGAAACTTAGCTGGTCATGTCAATGAGACAGACAGAGACAGAGTTTTGTTGTGATTTTCTCATTTTTTATTATAAGAAGAATTTTAAAGTTGTTTAATAAAATAGATGACCTAATCTACGAAATTACTGAGCCTACAATAGTAAAAAAAAACAGGCCCTAACCTTTAGATTATAGGAAAACAACTACTCTACTACTACGTACCGTGGTAGTAACCACGGACTACCACGGTAGTCACTTTCCATCAGGCGACCCGTCTGGGCATCAATTCTGCTATTTTAATATTGTATCAATAGACTCGATGGAATGCCGTCAGAATAGTTCTGCACTTTTTCTATTCTACTAACTATGTAAGACCAATGGTCGTCGATGTCTTTGTAATAGTTTGGTAAACGGTACATTTTAAATTTGTTAGAAAATGATATATTTAATTTTCCAGGTATTGCAATATTGTTAATATTACCAGTGATGACCTATATTACTATATCGACAGTCTATTGACACTGCGAATTTATGTTGGTAGAATACTTTTTTTACTTTTTGACCAATGTCAATGGCGTCGCAATGGCATCTCAATAGCGTGTCAATGGAATGACAGTGGCTTGGCGTTAACATAACATAGCATAGCATAGCATTAAGGCCCAGCTCGTTTGCTCATTTGCCCCTGTGCCATAATAAATACCTTTAAAAATTAATCTTAAAATAACATAAGTGATAACTCCATGAAACACATTTCGAGCAACTGAAGCTTAACGTCCCTGTGCTTAATGAACACGTTGTTCCTTTTGGTATAAAATGCATAATCGGGATGGGATTTCTCGAAGGAAGAGAAAACTGCATGTAAACCAAACCAGTATAATAGATTTCAAAGAAATATAAGACAGGTACATAGTATGCATAATTTGTTGATTATGGCAATAGATCAAAATAATCACATAAACATTTAAATCTGAAATCAAACAATACACCTACCTCTTTAAAAATATTTCAAAATAAACATCATCATCGTCGTCATCATCTGAGTAGAAAGACGCTGCGACTTCAGGCTATAGGCTCGCCACAACAACCGGTTGTTCGCAAAATGACCACGTATAAAAAATATAAACCTTTAGTTGACGAAGTTGAAAAACCGCTCTGTCATTTACAGCTATTTTATTACCTGACCGTACGTACACTTAAAATTAATTGCATAGTAACAAATGACCCACTAATACTTTCGAAGTGTCAAAATGAAAATTACAGGTTGTTTGTTTAGTAATAGAAATAATTTATTTCTGCTCGACTGATTAGATAACACAGACTGATATGATTAAAACGCTAAGTAATGCATAAATACATCAAAATGTGATTGTCTCTTTCAATGCGAATATAAGAAAATAGCTAAAAAATCCGTAAAATAGTATTAGATTAACATGCACCGATGCCATGTTATTACATTTTAAAAAAATACACTACGGGCAATTGGAAGCGGTGTAAGCGCGCACTTAAAATAAACTTGTGGTTTATTACGAACAATTTAGATAGCGGCCAATCCAGTCGATGGCTTCGTATAACTGATTAATCTGATTATGTCACTTCACCTTTTTTATACGGAAATAAACGTTATTGACTAAAATTAATCAAACTATTATAAATTTTAATTATGACAATATTAAAGAAAATATTGTGAGTCCAACTAATTTGAATAACTCAAACAAAATGTAGCTCAGGATTGCTACAAAACCCTAAAAATTGATCTTTTTGCTAAAGAATAGCTAAGGTAGAGAGGAGAGGTGGGGGGGTTAGAGGTTTGGGGGGACAGGGTTTTGGCGCAGTATCTGGAGCAGACAGTCGAGTTGCGAGAAGTTAGGTACAGTTATTTATATAGATACGTATGTATGTTCAATGTACATATCGATCGCCTCCCCGGGCCACTCGCCACTATGATCTCACCTCCATCCTTTGCGACTCCCTTCCCCCGACGCCTCTTGCCCTACCGCATTACCCCAGAGACCTTTAACGAATATCTTTGCCAAGTGAAACGTGTGACTGATACATTTCGATTTCACGGCATATTTAAATCTTACAAAAATAATAAAATTCATTTTTAAAATCGTCCTTTTTAATATCCTACCTACATATTATATATCAGAAAAAAGCGATACGATTAGTAGGGTGAAAAGGTATAGCTATAATTGTCGTCGCCGCATCTCGGACTATTCATAAGAAACCCCAGTGTTTTAGAAACAGAACGTCCCTCGTCAAAATAAGTTATCGTCATAAAATGTAGGTACTAAACAGAACTTACAACTAACACATTTACTGGGGTAGTTTTTTTATTGAAGTATTAAGATACTAACAATGTGATCTGTTATTATGAACCATCTCTATCGAAAAAAATTAAATTACGTGAATGAAGTACTTATGTAAAATAGGTGTACCTACACTTTTAAAATTAGGGGATAGTGATGCGAAAAACGTGTTATGAGGACCCCAGGTCGGCTGATAATGATCTCTTATAATATCAAGGACTTATAATATTAACCTAAAACGGACGTGTATATAGATAAATATCTAAATACATAGAACCATCCCTTTTTTGAAATCGGTTAGAAATAAACTTACAAATAATCTTCAATTGGAGAAAGAACCTAAGGCTTAACAACAATGTGCAACAATTAACAATGTGCAACAATTAGATCCTCGTACATGGTTTGGTAGATTCTTTTAGAGTTCTAGGCACTAGAAGCCATTTTAAATTAAACTTCTATACTTAAAAACTTCTCTAAACCTCCTTTCTAAGGAGAGGCCTATGTCCAGCAGTGGACTATCAAAGGCTGCTCATGATGATGACTCTAAAACTTTGTTGCAATCCAACTCAAATATGTTGCAAATAGTTACTTTTTTTTTTTTTTTTTTTTTGTTTCAAATTCAATGTCTTCTTTATTTCATTAAATTGATCACCAGTCGGAATCGTACATTGTTTTTTATACATGCTTACCTATAAGTCATAAATCAATTCAGACAAAGACAGAATGCTTTGTCAAATATAAAAATACTCAAAAAAAAACAAACTTTTGCTGATTAGAAAACAATAATACTCCTAGCACTTAATCAATATCTCACAGTAAACTCACTTTTCTCCTAGAGTTAGCAAAATTTGGAATTAACATCTATTAGCTTATATCTTTTAGGTGTTATATTAAAAACAATTATTTAAAAATAATAAAAGCCTTTTTATTTAGCAGAGACATAAATGTAAAGTTTAACATCACATTTAAATGAGAACGCTCTTAACGCCATTTTACTTCAACTGATAACTTAGACACGAAACAACAAAAAAGTTTTGACAGTGACAATATGTGTCAGGCAAAGCAAAGAGTATTTTAACTCAGACAGGGTTTTTTTAAATCATTTACGAGGAAAACTTAACAATATCCGAATCTTGGAAAAATAAACCTATTGGGGAGGAAAGAATTTTGTACCTAGTCATGAGTTCTGAAGTAATGGTATCTTTCAACTTAAAATTGTAATATTAAATAAAGTTTGATATGTAATAAACTGAATAAAAACAATTTCGAGTTCATAGTCATTACGAACTGTGCGATGGTTCTCATTTACAATATTTTGACTTGAGATTAACTTGGGTTGAAATGTCCCATTTTAAAAATAAATTTAAATCATTCAATTAAATTATAACCTGAAAATAAACTGCCTATTCCATACATATGTATGTTTCACAAAAACTTCGACAGTGTCTCAAGTACCTTTCCCACCTACTATTATACTTGTTTATTCGTAAAACTATGAATGACTGGGCTTTTTATATTGAACTTAAACCCAACCAGCAATACGCTAAGCTGGGGCAGTAACTAGCACATTTTATCAAGAATCTCAATGTTCTATATTAATTCATTTTAGTCTGATTGGATGCAAGTCGATCGTCGATATCGATATCTATCGTTGTTTCAACTACTCTTAATGTCACGTCATCAGAACTATTCTGTACAATAGTACTTCTGAGTGCATCTGCTGTATTGTTGAGATGCACCTCTGCATCAGTACGAGACTGCAGTTCTTCCACACTCTGCCCTTTGTGTACCTTCGGTATTTCATCTGTATTGTTTAATGTTTCAAGGCATGTGGAATAAGGCGGAGGTAGTTCCTCAGAGTTATCATCGGAATTTTTATTGATGACCTCATCATTGTTGGAAACGCACTCAAAATATGGTTTCGGTAAATCTGAATGGCTGTCACTCTGTGGTGAACATTCTGAGTTGTCTAACAATTTGAAAGATCCATTGTCACTGTTATTTTTTTGTGGGTTTGCAGGCGAAGTGTTTGATGAATCCCGCTTTCCGCACACCATCATTAAACAACACCAAACAACGACGGTACAAGGTGATATCCACCAGGTGGACACCGGCGTGAGTTTATGGTTCAGGGTGCTCACATCAATTGTAGGTACTTTAAAGGCAGGCTCCTTAAAATGTACATTGAACAGTGAGGAGAAATCCCTGAAGTGGGTCCGATTGTAATTCCACGAGTCGTCCTCATGATTCCAGTGTGAAACGTTAAACAGTGATCTTAATCTGTTTGTGGAGTTCATAGTCATTTTCGGCAAGTGTTACACGCACGCCCACCGCTACGCAAGTTCACAACACAACCCCTTGAGGTATAATGCAATTTGTTCAGAAACTGTCTACCAAGTGTCATCGTTAATGGTTATTACAAGACATACGCTTATTGAATTTTGCATAGCCAGGGCCTCAATTCTGCTATTTTATGTTTACGCCAAGCCAGTGTCATACCACTGACACGCTATTGAGATGCCATCGAGTAGCCATTGGCATCGGTATAAATATCGGTAGTTGAAAATATATTACGTTTTTTGAGGAAATGATTTATTTCTTTTTATTATAATAAATTATTAAAAGAAATAAATAAATTAAAATAAATTATTAAAGAATAAAATATAAAAATTATAAAAAAAGAACTAAATGAATTATTAAAATAAAAAAAAAAAAAATACTCAAAAAACGTAATATATTTTCAAATTATAAGGAAATGACTTATTTATTTAAATATTTTTTATATTTTAATAAATTATTTCTTTTTTTATAATTTTATTTTTTTAATAATTTATTTAATTTATTTATTTATTTTAATAATTTATTTATTACTTTTTTTAATTTTTTTATATTTTATTCTTTAATAATTTATTTTAATTGCCACTCGATGGCATCTCAATAGCGTGTCAGTGGTATGACACTGGCTTGCGTAATAGTAGAATTGAGGCCCAGGTGTACTGCTAAAACTAACTAGTTTATATCTAAGAAATCTACGTCTGCAGGTGTTCAGAAGCCAAAATATAAACATATTTAGACACAGTAAATATATTACCAGTTTAATAAAATTTTTTTTTGCAATAAGTGCCTTTTTTTGATATTATCATTATTTTCCATAACCTACAACTTAAAAAAAAATTGTTACGGGAAAGGTCGAAGAAGAGCCGACTCAGTACCTCTGGTAACTTATATTTACGATAAAAATAAAATCGATCCCTAGAGCTTTTGTTGTAAAAGTTTACACTGTAGTAAGAAATTTCCACATGATAATGCCGCCTGATTCCAAACTAGGCAGAGCCTGTGTTATGGTAACCAGACTGCTGATAAACATATTTATATATTTTTAAATACATACATATTATAGATAAATTACACCCAGACACAGAACAAATCGTGTTCATGCATCGGTGGGAATCGAACCCACGACCTCCACGCACTCAGTCACACTGGTCACTAACCACTAGATAGACCAACAGGCCGTCATGACTAAATAAAAATGTTCATGAGCAAAATATTGAATGAATGTCAATGTTTTAGGCAGATTAAGACTTTTCTAAAATACAATACAGATTTAGTATTCACCACAAATCGGAAAATTAAAGTGTGTAGAATTCACGGAAGTGCTTTATCTGATAGCTTATTTATGTCAACAAAACGTAGTCAACCAATATCACTGATATTTAAAAAAAAAATACAATAACAACACGAATTCCAACGCCTTTCATTGTAAAAAAAAAGGAATAAATACCTATTTAAAATATGTAGAAACGAAAATTATAAAAATTCGCCCTTTACTTTTAAGAAAAGAGCAAGAATACAAACTTGAATGCAAACATGATGTGTGGAATAAAGAACCTACTTTTTAAAGTTGCTTAAAAAGTATATTAGTTATACCATTTTAACTAAATTATATAATAGTACCATTAACTTATTTAACTATTTTAAGTTGTTGTTTTCATAAAAAATTTGCTTATCTTGAATTTAAAGTATATAATGACAAATCCTTTTAAAAAGAACAATTCCCTCTTTATACATAATCCAAACTTATATTATAAATGTTAAAGTGAGTTTGTTTGTTTGTTTGCCACGCTTGCACGTCTTAACCACTAAATAGATTTTAAAAATTCTTTCACCAATGTAAAGCTACATTTTATCGGCGTACTTTTAAGCGCGATAACCGACACACGGAGCCGCGGGAAATAGCTAGTACAATATACATAAGTTGTACTACACATGGTGGCTTCGTTGTGTATAACAAAGGTTACGGATGCTACCTGATGCCTCACTTTGAAGGATTACCTGCCTGATGTGTGGTGTGTGCGATGCTCGCACAATGCAAGTGAATTTATGACAACCAGTAATGTTTAGGATTTTAGTTTCCGTATCCAGGGATATCCAGGACCAAACAAACTTACATTACCATCGTTTTCCTTTCCTAATTTTATTCGGAATCAGCTTAACTATTGTGTAATGTGCAACATAGCAAAAGGTTTTGGGCAGTTTCATTCATGGTTTAAAATAAATGCAGTCTGTATGTTTACTGTCCTTATTACGAGATTAAACATATTGTGCACAAAAACTACGCGCAATGCTTGGGTTCACAAACGTCAATCAACTGTCGTTACTAGTTCACACGCATCGCCATCAACAGAGAAAAATCCGTATTCGTGTCCGCGGATATAAAATTTAACAACCACCACATCGCTAATGACAGCCATAGCACGTTATGAGAACCAGAAATTGGCATTCATTGTAAAAAACGCTTTATAGCCAAGTGAGTAGGCTCATATTAGATTGTTTACAGAACCCTGGATAAATTTATCTTCTAGTGGCGTATTGGTGCGCTATTCATTGTAATTTTTGTTGTTGTTAAAGTCTTTTTAAACTTAGCCTTCAATATAGATATATTTAAGTTACACTCTTGAACTTTTACATATATTACGATTTAGTAAAAACTTAATATCACTGGCGAAGTCAGGTAATAAAGAGATATTTACACAGATTATGACTCGTGATCAATCAAAAACTGTGATAACAGAAAACAAAAAAACGAATATAAAAAGTAGTATGCTTTACTACCAATAGCATTTAAGTGTTTTGTGATTTATCCCATCAGTCAAAACTTATTTATTATTTAATTTTATACAACGTTTTAAGTTAGCGAACAAAAGGGGGAATTCAACACTCCATTAATGAATAGATATAATTAATGATAACTATTCATTAGTTTTAGTTTACAAATTTATAACTGAGCACATCTTGACTATAGCATATACTCTACCGGTAATAGCAATGCCTATTTATATTACAATCTTGTGTTCGTGGTCTATGAGCGCAGATAGTTAACAGTCAGTGTAAGTAGACACCAACCCTTGCAACGGGAGTTGCGGCGGCCGCGCTCGTTCGGTCGATCGCTCATCGCGAACGACTCTTTGAAATGCATCTTCCAACACCGATCCGAACTCCATCCACATTCACGTGTACCATCGGCTCGCCAAATGCACAATCCACTCACTGTCACCAACACGTCACTCTACCGAAGAAATCCAAACCGCCGCCGTCAGGCGCTCGTCACCCACCGTGATACGCACTCGGAACGTGCCGCATTTTCAATTTCATCACATTGACAACAACAAACGTTTCGTAGGCACAGACCAATGCGACAGTCGGCCTCGGGCGCGGACTGGCGCGCGATGCGAACGGCCGTCGCCGTCGCCTCCGCCGCGAGACCGGACCTCGCGTCTCGGGGGCGAGGATGCGGGAATCGGCTTCGGCGCAATACCCGTCACGAAAATAATAGGAACAGAGAGTGCACCTCAAAGGCGCGACACGACGCGGTCGGTGCGAGCGAGACGCGGATAAACACCAGACTGTTTACTTACGGTGTACGCGCGGGGCTAGCCTCCTAGCGGGGCGAGGGGCAATCGCCTGCAATCCGCACTCTGCAATTACTTCTTTTGTACTATACAAACTCAGCCTACTTACATAAGATCAAATAAACATACTTCGTATCGTAACGAACATATCTCAATATTCTGTCAAAATTGACATCAGATAGATAACATTTCAAAAGTACTTACAAGGAAATTATAACTCTGAAGTAGATAAGATGCCAAAACAAACATCTGGTAAGACTCAACTAAAATAAAAAACCATTAATTTCGATTAGCAATGCAGGCTTAAAATATTGAGAGTAAAGTAGATTGGTTCTTTTGATAATGACAGATGATTCGGCGGTCCTCTTACTTGAGATGACCACTTAACCAAAATTCGTAATCACTGAAAATATTCATGGGATTCAACTTAGTTTTATTACCGGTTTATCTTATGAGTGTTGCTGCATGTGCACTTTAGTGTCGTGTCTTACACGATCAATTGTAATAAACTCAAAATCATGATTTTTCTGTAAAACAAAATGAATAGCATTCCCTAGTATATAGCTAGACTAAAAACTAATGCGCACTTATATTAAACGATGATTTCATTTGTTTGGCGCCGTTGTTAAATGCTGATGCGTGATGTAAAGCGGAGCAAGAGCTTGACTTGACGATCAATCGACCAGCTATGCTGGGTGTGCATCGAGCGTTGGTGACTGCATTCCGACGTCCCTGCCCCCTGCCCGCGGCCCACCATTCCTCACCCCCCGTCCTTCCAACTCTCGTCACGTGACTCGGCGATTAGCCACTGAGTGCGCCACCGAGACCGAAATAGAGTGTGCACATACAAATATCTTGTTCAAGTCTAAAACTCTCACGCCTCCATTCCATCTGTACACTACACGTATGAGCATCTTTCTCCAGGAATTTATATCCGTGCGAAGCGATTTCGTTCTGTAAATCATTAAAAAAAAACACAAAGAACTATCCATTTTCTTTATTTTGATCGAATACGCTCTGAAACCCTACCCCGTTATCAAAGTTAGTAATCTACATTTTACAACAATCAAGCAAAAATATGTCTGATTTTTCATTAACAATTGTACTTAACAACAAGAAAAAGTCGACAGGATCAATACGGGCTGCAAAATGTACACGTGATCGCGCCACTATACATATAAATCCCTCCCACAATGGGCACCCCCTAAATACACACCCACCCTGCTCTCCCTTCCGCCAACGTCGAAAATAATATATTTTTCTTAAATTAAATAAATACTAAGTAATTGCTGTTATAATTAAATTAGCGAATATATTTAGAGAGTCCACTACAGTTTACTTATACAGATACTTTTAAATAAGTGGTAATGAAATAAACTTGTATCAGAGTCCACAAGTTGACAAACGCTGCGTGAAACCTGTTCCCGTGGGCGAAAGGCGACGCGTACGTAGCCTATTACCGCCGCCGCACCACCCAACCCGCCCTGAATAACATGGTTGCCATATTTTGCCCGCTTCACGTCAACTCTGTGGAAGTGTGGCCACAGATAATACGCTTCGAAGAAAATGAAACATCAAAAAGCTATTACTCATAAATTGTATCAGGTTTTAATTACACAATAAAACAGCGTTCATTCAGCTTTGTCTGACATCTGACACCATAATCTCGTCTTACGTGTCAATATTTTTTTCACCCAAGGTCGGTACATCGTACATTTATTATCAAAAGTATCTTCATAGACTTCATAAATAACAAAATGTCAGTTTACATTAAAGTTATTACATTAAAAATTTAAAAAACCCCGACAAACATCTTGGATTTGAAATTTGTCATAGTGTGTAGTATTCTACTAGTTTCTTTTTGTATCCTACCTTTCATTTGATAACCATATTGAGGGAGTTGTGAAAAAATATGTAATCCGACATTTTGTGGAGGCTGTCATCTTGGACCGATTTTTATCAAACATAGCTAAGAACACTCCCGACTAAATCACCTTTCAAACAAAAAAAAAACACAAAATCAAAATCGGCTCATCCGTTCGGGAGCTACGATGCCACCGACAGACACGTCAAACTTATAACACCCCATCGTTTTTGCGTCGGGTAGGGGGTTTAAAAAAATATTTTCGCTGGCTACTCCTCTAAAACATAGCCATTGCATGGCAATTTGATACATTATTTATCGATTTTGTACGTACGTATTATTAAGTGGAAAATAAAAAGAAGTTAAATTTGGAGGAAAATTTATAGCCTTTTAAATTCAACCCCTCCTTTTATTTTCGATACTAAAAAGAGGAAGTAAATGTGTTTTTTTTCTTACGGATGTTATTCGTGTTTTCCGTCAATTATACTCTGATGTTAAAAATTCTTGTTTTGTTTGTTTCACCCAGCTCAGGATCTGACCAAATAGAATCAGCTGTAGACGACATCAAAGTAGGATGTATTCAAAAGACTTTAAAATATTCAATATGTAAATAGTGCTGATAAGTTAGTTGGCTATAATAGGAAAAAAAGAGTGGAGACAATAATCGCAAATAATGCCAAGCCGATGTTTGCATAGCTCCGGAGTAAGTTTTACTTACAAATAACGTCAAACCTATGATTGCGATACGGAGTTTATTTAGTTCAAACGTACATGAATAAGGGACCATTCATTAATTATGTACTTGAGAGGGGGGGGGGGGGGAAGGGTGGTAAAACATATTCTTACGTAATATTTTAAAAGTCCAAATTTATTTCTATTTTGGATGCTGAACGATTTTCTTCATTCCATAATGTGTACTTCGATTTACATCTTATTTTACGAATTTTTATTGTTTATTAAAATCCTAATATTTTCATCCATTTTTAATGTCATAAATAGATAATAATTATATTATAGTGAAATCTTCCAGCGTATTAGCTTTTACTGTGAAATTTATTTACTTTAAGACTAATTTAAAACTAGTCGATCATTATTTTAAGTGTTATTCGTTTAAAGATTGTTTAACTGATTTTCGTTTGTTCACTTTAAGATTATTTAAAAACTTACTTTCAATTATAATAATAATATTCCAAAGACTAGACAGTTTTCTAATAATATAAAGATAATCTATATCTGATAGCAATGATAAAGTTTAATCTTTGATTCAAACTGAGTTTTAGTGTAACTGATCCTTTTCTAAAAAAATTTTTTTTATTCAGAAAAACGAGATTGAATCTTACGTAAAAAGAGGGAGGGGGGGTTCCAGAAATCTTTTGTGTCCTTACATGGGGGTAGGGTGGTTAAAAATCGCCAAAATCATCCTTACGTAATTAATGAATGGCCCCTAACACCAAAACGATGTTCGCGTTGTGTAGAAGTTTCATTTTAGACGGTCATGAATGCCAAATAAGTCCTTTTTTGCGCTGTGTGAAGTTTCGTTACTCAATGTTTTGTAAGAATAGTTTTGGTAGAATTTTATGATAATCGGGAACATATACAACGACAGTCGTTAAAAAGTTACATTTGTAACTAAATTATAAGACACTATCTTGCTTAATCTATCTTTATTTTCGTAATATTTCTTTCTTATCGACACCTGAACATATAGTTCCAAATGATAATAGTAAATTGGATTATCCCGTTTATAGACGCATTGTTCTCTCAGTAAGTCGTTTAGTAATCATTATCATACTAGTTAAGACTCGTTCAAGTCGGCTGAATTTCAAGGTGACAACGACTTAGGACGGCTCCTTGTCAAGACCGTTTCCCTCTACAGCTACGGACCCCCCTAATAATAAAATAGTATATACATAATAAATATTTCAAAGCTATCTCAATTTTTATGGAATAATTTTAGGCACTTATCCTAAATCAGTAGATACCTACATAGATATAACTGTAAAAGTAAGTTTTCTACGACAACAGTAGCTAGCAACATTAAGTACATATCAACTTTTATTATCGGCATTGCGGTTTTAATATACCTTATCAACAAAACAGCATAATAGTCAGTCATCCAGCAACGTAACGGACCGCAACGGTTACAATGCCTCAAAACTTTCTAGCGGCAAGTCATCTCTATCAAAATAACCTCTGTCATTTCTTTAAAATCTAGACCACGTTTTCTTAACTAAATGAAAAAATGGAATATTCATTTGAAAGAATTGGTGGCAGCATCGATGCGCCGCGAAGTATTTGCAACGGATGCAGCGAAATGAACAGTTCATTGACCTCAAGCGAACCGGGTTTCACTCGTATAGAAGCGACCAGTTCAGTGGCCCTATTTTGAGTTACCATATCTATCATTACGTTTATGTCGTATAGTCATTGGAAATGTACATATTTGTAATATTCTTCAAAAAGATGAGAAACTTCTAAAACAAAAGTTATTTAATAACTCAAGAAACAATCGCCCCTCGAGGACAGGGATAGACACTGTTTTAGAAGTGATTGGTATTCACTAAAATCTTTTAAAAGTATTAACTTACCCACTATGGTGAACATTGTTTGAAGTATTTACCTTGAATGATAATGTTTTCGCATGCTTTGGCTATAGCGCACAATGTTGTACAAAAATATAAATTTTAGTCGAGCGCTGACGTGTCGGTTCGCCGTCCATTCTGTCCTTTTCCTACGCTATGTACCTAGTGGATTGGTGTGAGCGAGTTAACATGAGATTTAAATTAGAATGGATTGTTTGTAGATAGGTTTCGTAGGTGCAACTCAGCGCTACAATCAGCTTGTGTTCTAATCGGATATGAGCTAAGTTGGACGCAATTGACGTATATTTAGATCGATGCCCTTGGTGCAGACAAATAGCTTTCCCTATGATATATTATGTATTCAAAAAATTAGAAAACCTGAGTGACTTTTCAATGATTGGAAACAAACTATTGTAATATCATATTGAGTGATGTTACATCTACTTAAGTTATATTCCGAAAATATTGACATAATTAATGTGTATTATAAGAAACTTCATATTCGCCGCAACCTAGTTCTTCACAAATCGTCAAGGTCACCAAATCACGCATGTGCGATAGCAGGATGTTAAAAAAAATCATATTCT